TCTTAAGTGAAAGAGGTAACTGGTAGGACTGAACTGAAACGCAGGCTACTGGACTTCAGAGCTTATGCTCTCAACCCTTAGGCTAATTAGTCAGAAATAGTATTCAAAAAATTGCCTTTTTATTGTATTTTCCTTTGTATGTGGGAACTAGACCTTGTAGAAAAAGTAAAACTACCACAAACAGACCCTAAACTTTGGAGACCCTAAACTGTGGTGGGTCTCCACTTACCTATGATGAATACCATCACAAAGGTTTAAAGGAAACTTAATCCTTTTCAAACTGGTATTTAATAACTGAATACCACTTTTCTAAGGTGCAATGAACAGTTGTGTGGGGGAAACTGATCCCATAGATAATACTGATCAAGATGCAGAGCAAGCATCTGCTTGATAACTATAACATCCTAAAACATCGACTAAAGACCTTTAGAGAAACAATTGCAGGTGCTCTCTCAATTTTAACATGATACTATGATTTCTGTTAAGCACAGGGAATACATTGTCTTTCTGATATTATGAGCTTTACTAGATTAGTCACTATGACATTCTTTAGCTGCCACTCTTTTCAACTTGAAATCTGAAGGTACTAAAAAAGAAATAAATTATGAATATAAAATTTTAAATATGTTCAAATGATTTCTCAATTATCATAAGTGATACAAATACAGAGGAAGAAAAGGTAAAAACTAAAAACATGGTAATGATCGATCACTAATACAATTTGTATTTGATGGTAATATTTTTAAATACTGTTTTGATCACTTCTGTGTTGGGCTTTGAGAAATGGTGCCACATTAATTAAAAGCTATAAATGTATAAATATGTATTATTTTTTAGTGGTTTGTTTCTCAGTATTATATGAGATTTGTGTGTAAGGGTCTGGCTGATCTTTAGTTCAAAAGCATATCAGGCGTAGAATATTACATAATTGCTCTTCCTATATAGTTCTTGGAAGTCAAGCAGTCTGANGAGGAGCCATGGAAGCAGTTAGTATAAATACACATTTCTAGTTTCTTTTCAAATGGATTTTTAAGTGGATTAGTGATTTAACAACTAATTATTTTCTTTCATCTATGTTATTTTGGTAATTTAGAAAAACATTTAATAAATTAGTTTCAAAGTTACCATTCCTATTTCACAGTTTTGTTCAAATAGTATTCTGTGGTAACAAATGAAGGCTTGGATATCTAAGCCACATGTCAATAAAAGTTTAAAAGAAAAGGGGAGGGGGGATGGGAGACCTTTATTTAGTACATCCACTCCAGAAAACATAACATTCATTATTTTATTTATTCCTTGTAACATATTTAAGTTGGAAAAATATGCACCAGATAGTCTGATGTGAAATTATACCTGTTTTCTAAAAGACAGACATTACCTTGTTCACATTTTATATCTAAGGAAACTAAAGCTTACAGACTTGAGAAACCTCTTAAGTGAAAGAGGTAACTGGTAGGACTGAACTGAAACGCAGGCTACTGGACTTCAGAG